TCAATCATCTTATCGAACAAAAACTCGCCTCTCCTCTGTTATTGAACGATTCTTGGGAAGTAGGTCTAACTGAAATTTTTATTCCACGAAATTGGTATAATGTGGGAGAGTATAATAATGACTATGTAATAACTAGGAATGTGGAGAAAAGCATTCCTATTAAATTTTCACGCCATACTTTATCATTTAATTATGGCGTTTTAGTTTCGGTAAACGCAGATGTTTCTCTAGAGGAATTTTTATCAAAACTGAATGATAAAATTAGTACCATTCTCGGTAGAGAGGACGCTGTGAAATTCGTTCTAGAACATGAAGGGAGGAGTATTCGCTGGTTCTTGCAAATGGTTTCGAAGTACACATTTTCTAAAAGAAAAGCTCCTAAAATGTTACAGATGTTTTACTTACCAGATGAAGATACTATATTAAAAAATCTCAAGTGATGAGATTCAGATCAATAGCTGAAAACAAAGATCAGTTATTTTCAATCATAAATAGGAGCCCTTCTAGCACGAAACTGCATTTGATTCCGTTAACCTTAATAAAAGCAGATGTATCTAGGGGTCTCTTTGGCGACGTAGCAAAAAATATCCAAGATCTTAAATTGGAAAATTTTGTCACTTTCACCTACGATCAGACGAAGTCCCAACTAGAGTCTTGTGTTGAAGACGGTGATGTGGGGTATATTATCGAATCCGATCTGTTATATCCCTCCCATCTGCATGACCAACACAATGATTTACCGCTAGCACCGGAACGTTTTGAACTCACTTTTGACATGCTATCGCCTTATGCCAAAACCCTGAGCAAAAAATTTCAGTTAGAGACGACACTTCCATGCAAAAAATTAGTACCCAATTTTTTTGAAAAAAAAATTACATCGCTCATTATTTAAATCTAAAGTTTTACGTAGAACAGGGTTTAATAATTAAGAAAATTCATAGAATTTTAGCTTTCAAACAACGAGCGTGGCTTAAAGAATACATTGCTTAAATGCGTCTAGCGAATTTGAAAAATCTTTCTTTAAAATGTTGAATAACCCTTTCTATAGAAAAACCTGTCAAAATGTTAGGAAACGTATTCACGTACAGGGCGTTTTCAGTGCGGACAATACCAAAAAAAATTAAATAGTCCTCTGCTGGAATATTTTGAAATAATTAATGAAAATTTGTCAGTTTTTCAAAATGAAAATCCAAATTGGTGTCTAGATAAACCGATTTATTATAGGTTTCAGCGTTTTAGAATTAGCGAAGTTGCACATGTATAAATTATTCTATTCCCATTTTAAACACTTTTACAAAGAAAAATGCGAGTTGTAATACACAGATACAGATTTTTTTGTATCTCTATATAACAACTGAAGATGTATATAGTGATTTAAAAACGAATTTTTTAAATATTTTGGATTGCAGTAATTTCGAACCCAATCATATAATGTTTAATGAAGAGAACCGTGGAAAACTGGGATTTCTAAAAAGTGAGACACTCACCCCCATATCGGAATTTGTGGGTTTGAAATGCAAAATGTACGCATTTCGTTTCGGTGATACTGTTAAAAAGACCGCGAAAGGAATCAAAAGGAGCGCGCTCAAAAACATTGGATTTGAAACGTATAAAAACGTTTTCGAAAATGCTTCCCTGATTAGGAATTCTCAATATTCAATCATTTCAAAAAAACGAACTGCAAACGATTTTTCAAAATAAAGCTAGCCTCTCGGGATATTATGACAAAAAATATTTGTTAGATGATGGAATTCAATCATTGTCTTATGGTCACTATAACACGCGTGAAGAAGACATGAATTAAAAAAAATGATGGAACTTTTTTGTAACATTTTATTGTAGAGTGTGACATTGTATTTTTGCAACTTATATTTTTTTATGCTAATGATCGACAAAAAACAAAAATGTGTTTCCCTCCCATAGAATACCCAGAAGATATGGCTTTATTTCAACCAATTTCTTTGCAAGATATGTGTATTCAAACTATTTTATCTTCGATATTATGTATAGCTGAACTGTATAATGTAGAACTGAATATTCCTCGTATGATTTTAAGAGATATAATAGAGAAAGGTCGATTCTGGATTGATTTTGAAAGTAGTTTCTCCTTAGAGAACAGAGATGTATTTTGGGATGAAAGTTTAACTCTCTATGAAAGAATTCGATTTAATAAGTGGTTTTCTAAACAATTTATTGCCTGGTTTTTCTTTGATGATGATGTTATATTTCTTTTACACCTAAAGATTGCACATATCACATTTGTAAAACATGTAATTGTTCAAAATAATGAGTCTAATATTTATTTGAAAAGCTGCAACAAATGTTTAGAATTGTGGTTACGATGTCAAACAGACACTACCAGAACGAAATGTAAAATTTTCAGAAAATTCAATCATTTTCTTATGTTATAATGAAAGGGATACCCTTTCTTATATGCGAAATGAAGATAACTGGTGTGAGATATGTAAGCAAAGTCCTCTGTATTTCATTTGCGACGAGAATTCATGTTGCATTTCTTTTGGAAACTTGATACACGAATGTCCCCGAATTAACCATGATCACTGTTATAATAATTGCTATGGAGGTTTATGTAGAAAACTTTTCTTTTAACTGTCGAATATGAACAAAAATACTGATACATTATGGCAATATTCTGATTAATCATTTTTATTTTATAAACACCCTGAAATTTTTGTTGATATGTAATGATTCCATTTATGTTTGTAACAATGTGAAATGTACTTTTGTTTTATTTGATTACTTATTGTATTATCAATATAACATCTCACATGGTGTAATGAAGATAATGGGTTAGTTTCTATATAAATTTACAACGAAAAATCGTTTTGATTTCTTTAAATGTTCATTTTAATTTCTGATACTTATATGCGAAATGAAGATAATTGGTGTGAGATATGTAAGCAAAGTTCTCTGTATTTCATTTGCGACAGGAATTTATGTTGCATTTCTTTTGTAAACTTGATACACGAATGTCTCGCGAATTAACCATGATGACTGTTATAATAATTGTTATGGAGGTTATGTAGAAAACTTTTCTTTTAACTGTCGAATATGAATAAAAATACTGACACATTAAGGCAATATTCTGATTTATCATTTTTATTTTATAAACACCCCCTCCATGTATGTTTCGACGAAAAAGAGGGGGGAGGGAAAGAAATTTTTGTTGATATTTAATGATTCCATTTATGTTTGTAATAATGTGAAATGTACTTTTTGTTTCATTTCATTTGATTACTTATTGTATTATCAATATAACATCTCACATGGTATAATGAAAATAATGGGTTAGTTCCCATATTGGATTTACATCGAAAAATCGTTTTGATTTTTTTTAAATGTTCATTTTAATTTTTGATACCTTTATATATTTTACAACAGTAATATGTTTTTTGTTTCATTTGATTTTTTCATTGTATCATGCATACAAGAATGATTATTTTTTTTATTTTGTATTAAGCTTCTGTAATCCTTTAGAAAAAAAATAAAAAAAATGGACCTTATCCAAGAGGTCCGGTTTTAGTATCTTCTTGGAGGAATTTACATTTTATTAATTTCTTCAAGGCAGATGCTTTTACCGGAAAACAAAACAGTGGAATAGAAAAAGGCAGCTCATAAATAAGTGTAAAAATGTATTCTTTATCTATATATCTGATATTTGTTTTCAGAGACAAAAAAAAATTGCATTTGAAAGAAAAAAAAATCCTTTTTATTGATCAAATTGTTTGTGTTACACACAAGTGCGATGTAATTCTCGCACAATAGCATCATCATTCAGAATAACAAAGTAAGCAATTTTAATTACATAGCTTTCATCTCTTATACATTCACTTTCATATTCAGTTTTTTTTTCGAAGAAACACAATCCAACATGCTATTATATAATTTACTACATGCCGAAAAAAGAGCTATTTGTTCATTTTGAATGTATAAGTAGTAATATCCATATTGTTGTTGTGGTTGATGGTCAGCTTTATGAATATGCTTGACCACGTTCGGCATTCTTCAAAATTTTCAGGTAATGACGATTTCCTTTCCCGCTAGTGTTTTCATCGTAAAGAGCATTACGAATGCAGTCGCTTAGGTTTTTAAAGAAAAAATGATTAATTTTTTCAACGTGTACTTCTTCAACAGGACTGTTTTCGGAGTTTCCAGTGTGCAAATAGCCGTAACGTTCCATCGTCGACTTCTGAAGCGTTAGTGATGTTTTGCAGGAATAACACGCATATTTATCAAAGACACACAATTTTGTTTCTTGGCATGAAAAGCATGACAACAGCGGCGACGTTTGAATTTTTTTTTTTAAAAATTCCCTAATAAAAATTTCATTTTTTTTCTTATCTTTCGTGCAGAGGTCCTTCAAAGAGTACCCTCTTACCATACAAAATAAAAAATAAAGAGCAAATTTTCCGCAGGATGTACTGGTATCATCTTGAAAGCATATTTTATTATAAAATGTTTTGTTAGCGTTGGTCATTAAAAAGTTTAAAATATTTTTGTTAGATGGAGCAAGACCATAACTGTCGAAGTAATATGCCGTGCTGTTTTTCTTAAAATATATCGAAATCCAGTGGCTCCCAGGTAAAGTATGCGGATCCGAATTCACTATAAATGAGGAGTAATGTCTCTTTCGTAAGGGTATGAAATCGGAAGGATATACACCTCCAAATGTTTTTTTGATTCGACTGTCGCCACAGGCATATTGACACAGAGTTAAAGTATCCATTACCGCCTTTGTTCGAAATGAATATTTCTGTATATGCTTTTAAACACTTCTTCGTACACTTGATGTTTCTTTGATGGGAAAATTTCAATAATTTTTTCGGCAAAAGCGAGAAAGAATGCAATGCGCAGGTTCGCTATTTTATTGGAAAACATCATATCGCCTATACTTCGAATTACCTCCTCGCCTGCACCCGCCTCCTTAGCTAGTTCGATAATTTCATTTCCGTATATTTGCAAAACTTCGTCCATGATTTTTAATAATCTGTCGTGACTCCGCGTGACTTGTCTATTTCAATTATGTTCCTGTATTCAGCATAGACTATCAGGGTAACTGTTTCTGGCAAGGCCGCTGCAAATTTGATATCAATGGCTATGTTTCCGCTCTTATTTATGCTTACGTGGCTTTCATTAGATGCCATATCTGGAGTCAAATCAACGGCATATAATGTATACCCATCTTTGTATTCATCAAAGGAGATATTAATGTTGGGGCTTGAATGATATCGATTTAAATCTGTAAAGATGCTTAAATAACTTCGCCCATAAAATGTTTTTTCGAAATTGGGCTGATAGGGTTTGGAAGGTATCATCTGTCCCCCATTTAATATGCATAGGTAGTTTAGGTTATAGTGATGAAATTTAAAAGGATTTCTGTTGATGCTTCCATTATAGGCGGCATTAGATACAAAACCTAGAATGAGACGTGTGGGTAGCTGACCAATAAAAGCGTTTGCTATAGTTGTCGATTGCAAACCGCTCGATATTGCAAAACTTTTTATGTCAATCCTACGAATGGGCATCTTAATAACTCCTTTTTCTAAAGCCTTTTCGTGTGCTATTAGGATGGAGGGAGCCACGCTGACTTTTCTCACGTATAGTTTTGCTAGCTGAATTCTAATTTTATAATTGTCGTTTGCCGACATCAAAGTGAAAACATCTTTATGCCTTTCCAGTTTAATGCGTACATTAACCCCGTTGACTAACAATTTCGGTTGAGTGGCCAAATCGAAGTGCAATGGTCCCACGAGGTCGAGGCTTTGGCTAAGCTTGCAACGATTTGCACGCGTTGTATAACCTTCGTTTTCGTCTCCCACAACATCATGCTTAGATGCAGTATCTTTTGCAAATAAGCCAGCACTCAGTAGATTATCTTGACCTGATTTGGAATAGAACAACAAAAACTTTCCAAAAGGGCTCTATAAGAATAATTCACTTGTGACGAAACCTGTTTATCATTTAAAAATATTGAACAGTCGGAAAACAATGTGTTTAAAATATAATTAACAGGTGCCACCCCGTCGGCGTCGGTGAGATTGGTATCGTTTTTTTTTTTCGTTATTTTAAGTCGTGTGTGTAGTATCGTATGCGCCAAATCCAAATAGTGTTCACCATTACCGCTAATGTAAAATTCTATGGGCGTCTTATCAGACAATGAAGATACGGGGTGGATTTCCACGAAGGAAGAGGAATCGATGCCCAGTTGTACGGCGACACCATTAAAGAGATCCAATTCGCTCTTAAGGCATATAACCCCCTGAGTTTCCATTACTATTTAATCTTTATGTAAAAATATCTGCTTTTGTCTTACAACGCTTGCTCTTTGATTGACGATTTTTCCTCTTGCGCTTTCTTTTTATACCTTCTCCCCTCTGTAATTTTTCAAAAATATCACTTTTTATTTTATTAGAGGTCTCACGTAACCTGCTCCGAGCAGAGTCCTTAAATGACGATCCCGCTGCAACATCTGACAAGACGTTCTTTCCTGTTTGCATCAACTGTTTGCCCAAATAACGACCGGCTCTAAGTGCCAACGGCGTAATGTATCGGCGCAAATCTCCAAAAAACCCATAACCTCGTTGGTGAGGTATACCTTGAAAGTAAACACCACCGCCACCACCAACTTGAGCACAATAATAGGATTCGCACTCTTTCTGATTTAAGTGCATTTCTCTAAGGATGTTTTAAGAAAGTGAGAGGAAAGCTTGAAAAATCTTCAATTTATATAGTTTTCTTACGGCGAAAAGACAGGACTACAAATGTTTTTCCTCCCGTAAAGGTAATTTTTTCCCGCTACTCGTTCTCAGTTCTATTTCTATCGTTTCCACATAGTGCTTTCGCAAAGGAAAATATATAGTTTTTTCATAATGCTTCACAATTTGATCATTTTTTTCATTCACGCAGGGAATAACCCTTAGCAGCGGAACATGCACATCTCCAACGTGATGTGATTCGATTAAATCGCTGTACACAAAAATTTCTGTAATGCCCCCGTCCAGTTCTAAAGGATAGTCGCTTATATATTTTCCGCTCTTGAAATGGGTGTTGACGAATCCCAGCATGTCTGCCAGCCCTTTCCCAAATGCCAGCTCCGATTCTGGAGGAACTTCTAAAAACACTTTTGAATTCGCTAATTGTCTTAAATGTACGTGTTGAAATTCGCGAAATAAAGTTTCCGGTGATTTATATACGCCTGCGCTGACATGCAAATGTAAAGTTTCTTTTTCAGTCATAGTTACTTCGGGATATCCTTTAATTATAAGTTCCACAGCTTCCCCCCCCTCCACAGTTAGGGGCAAAAGCACAGGAAACTTTCGCGTTTGCGAAATTATAAGGTTTTCGCGGACGCCGAGTATCCTTAAAAGGGAGGATGCTCTTTCTTGAGTAATATGTTTTCTGACACCTTTATTTCTAGTTGGGACTTCGTCTGATCGTAGGTGAAAGTGACAAAATTTTCCAATTTAAGATCTTGGATATTTTTTGCTACGTCGCCAAAGAGACCCCTAGATACATCTGCTTTTATTAAGGTTAACGGAATCAAATGCAGTTTCGTGCTAGAAGGGCTCCTATTTATGATTGAAAATAACTGATCTTTATTTTCAGCTATTGATCTGAATCTCATCACTTGAGATTTTTTAATAATAGTATCTTCATCTGGTAAGTAAAACATCTGTAACATTTTAGGAGCTTTTCTTTTAGAAATGTGTACTTCGAAACCATTTGCAAGAACCCAGCGAATACTCCTCCCTTCATGTTCTAGAACGAATTTCACAGCGTCCTCTCTACCGAGAATGGTACTAATTTTATCATTCAGTTTTGATAAAAATTCCTCTAGAGAAACATCTGCGTTTACCGAAACTAAAACGCCATAATTAAATGATAAAGTATGGCGTGAAAATTTAATAGGAATGCTTTTCTCCACATTCCTAGTTATTACATAGTCATTATTATACTCTCCCACATTATACCAATTTCGTGGAATAAAAATTTCAGTTAGACCTACTTCCCAAGAATCGTTCAATAACAGAGGAGAGGCGAGTTTTGTTCGATAAGATGATTGATTGTTTTGAGGGAAATACTGCATGCTCGCATTGCTGGGTAGAGTAACGTAGAATTCGTCTGTCTGTCATTTCATCCACGCTTTCACCCACGAATTAAACCGTCGATCAAAGCCTTTCCACTTGACGAAATATTCTTTCTTAGCACCGACACCTCTCGTTTGCAGAATTTTTTCCACTCTCCAGAAATCGTGAGAACTCTTTAATACTTTTTGTAACTCTTGTTCGTAAAACCTTCCTTTCAGAACTGTTCCTTTTAAATCTTTAAGCAGATATGTCGGAGGACTCGAAGGATATCTCTTATATATGACAAAAACCTCATCATCCGTCCAACTGGGCAAATAACCTTTGCGAAATGCTCGCCTTGTTTTAGAAATCCTCACCTGGTCATTTACCTCAAATTTGTATCTCGGTTTTATGCTATAGCCATACAGTTTTTCAAAAATTTCACTTTCTAGTTCCGGCTTCACGTCGGCAGGTGCATAACCAGTACTACGATGAATACTCAAATTATAGCTTTTCAAAACTGATTTCAAGACATGCACATACCTGTAGGAATTGGTGTAAGTAAATATTCGATAGAGTTTAGATTTTAGCGTTCGATTAAATCGCTCTACAACACTCGCCTTGTATTCGCTGTTAGAGGCATAATGATGTATTCCATGTCTTCTAAAATAGTCACGAACTTTTTATTAAAAAATTTCTTTTCCCTCATCTGTTTGTAAATTCACCACAAAATTTGTCTCCTTAAATAGCTTCTTAAATCCTTCGAGTACAGAATCTGCACTCTTCGATTTTAAAGGAATGGCATACCCGCGTTTAGAAAACACATCAATTGCTGTTAATAAACATTTTTACACCATCGTTATATTTAGAGAGCTTAGACAAATCAATCAAATCGCATTGCATTAATTCTCCAATGCCGAAAGACAACACCTTCCGTCGTTTGAAATTAAAGCGAACTGGTTTATGTAACGTATAAGCATCCTGTTTCATTAACCATCGACGCGTCGTTTTCAACGGAAGTTGTGCGGCACGAGCCAATCTTACCACTCCGCCATACGAAGCGGGGTTTTCTACATCGTAATAGATATTTTCTAAAATTGCGTCGGCATCGTTTAAAGCTCCTCCCATTCCTCTTTATAAGGTGCTTGACTTTGGGATCTCTCTTTCTTCTTTCCTGCTGTACTTTATATCTCTGCTGTTTTCTTTTTGTTTGATGATCGAAGTCTTTCACATTTGATGGGGGCCATCGAAAGACATTTTCCTCGCCGCGCTCGAGGATTTATTTTCCGTGAGGGGGTAGTGCGATGAGGTATCTCTCATGCGAGACAACACATTCTGATTCCCTATCCATGAGCGCGGTATATTAATTTCTTCGATAGCCTTTAGAAATACATCGAAATGCCTTGGCTCTTGAGCATTTTTTATATTTCTCATTAGGTAATTAAAGAAATCCACCATACTGGATCCCTGAATCGTTTTACCGTCAAGAATCATTTCTCCGCGATCGTTCCATGAATAAAGCCTCGATTTTAATTTTTCGGCGACCAGAGGCACCAATCTAGAAAATTTCTGGGGTGTTGATAGAATAATATCCCTAATAACAGGATCTTCCACTTGCTGGAATCCCTTCTCTTCTTTAGTTTCTTTCGCTTCATTCGCAAGGCTCACACGTATAGGTTCTGGTGGTGCGTGCACTGTTCTGTGATACCGCGTGATTAGTTGCCCCAACAACTTTGCTTTCATGTCGTCGGGTAATTTTGCTCTTTCTAATAACGTGTCTATGTCATCTTCCAATCTCAATTCTGGCTTCTGAAGATGATAAGACGATACCAATTCTTCGGGTATGAGAGCCACTCTTTTGGCCATTGTAGCCCAAAATTGGGATTAAGAATTTTTTTTTTACAGTCGTTTGCTAATAACTGGTCCTAAAATACCACCCAAGGCAGATATTATTGCCGGAGCAATCAATGGTAAAAAGCCTCCCGATTGGTTGACTAAATTTTTTTTTCTTTTGTATGCTTTCGTGTTTTTTAGATAGCAACCTTAAGAGATTCTTATATTTTTTCAGCTTACGTACATTAACGGGGATATTTCCATTCAAAATATTTAAACAAACTTCGCAGAGAGATAAAATTTGATCCTTATTTGCAGTCTGTAACAAAGCACGTTTCTGCGATGGGTGGGAATGAGCTAATATTCGCAAGAAATGATACTGCTTTTTCAAATTCTTCTTCGTCATTTCGGACGAAATAACCACAGTATTCCGTCTTTATCTGGAAACAGATTTTCGCGCATCCGATACTCCTCCGATGTTTGAGGGTGTAAGTCAATAACTAAATAACCAAAGGGTTTCGTTGTTGCTTTTATATAAGCATCCGTCAAAAAATGCCAGTTCTGAGGATATAACTGTCGTCCTAAGCAACTAACTTGGGAGACATCTCTTGCATTTTTAAACAAAATGATATAATGCGCATTAAGACTAATGTCGCGCATAACTTTTAAACGAGGGAATAAGTTTTGTAATATCACTATAACGCTGACTTCACAATGGTGTGAGGCGGCAGTAAAAAGATCGGCAATTTTCTCATTTAGTCGATGCATCAGGTCATCGACCACTATCAAATCCCCTTTTTCGTATCTATCCGGAAGACCTTGAATGAATTCAATGTCTGGTTCTTCCCAAAACCAAGGTGCGGAATACGAATAACACCATTTTACTTTTCTGATAGGGGCTTCATATATTCGATTTCGTATCATTTCGCGTACCAACGAAGTTTTACCTGATTGACTCGGGCCAATAACCAAACAGGAACTTGGATGTTTGAATTTTAACATCGCTGATAAATTCCTTTTTTTTTTCTTTAACAAAAATATATTTACATTCATCCAACCGTTTCCGATATCCGAGGACTCAAATGTCTATACATTTTGTCTGCAAAAACTGCATAGTTTCATAAATTCCCCCCTCATCATTTGTACGCCAATTATATCGGCTTTCAACATATCGATATCTTTCCAAAAATAACGTATATCATAAACTGTTTTATTCTCTTTTACACATACATGCAAAAACAATTTTCGACCAATATAAACCGATTCCTTACAAGTAGAATTTCTTAAATCCACTTTCCCTTCACCCCATTCACAATTCCTCATTAATTCTCCGAAAAATATTCCTACGACGACTATTGTTATTGCCAAAAATAAAACGAAATTTATAATAAAAATACTCCATTTTGTTGCACTCATCTTGCATCTACTACTCTTAATTCTCACTTTCAACTCCCTTTTTATACTAAATATTTCCAAAAAGAAAAAAAAAAAAAAAAAAAAAAAAAAAAAAAAGAAAAACGAAAATGCACAAGCGAACTCAAGACAACGAACCCAATGAATGACCTGACGTTTTATGGGTTACTGCTGGTCGTCTCCGACCCCCCGCCGTCCAAAGAAGGTTAAAAAAACTACCAAAAAGAAAAGAAGAAGATACTACTTTTAAGAAAATCGAAGGCGTTTTATGAATGGTGTACGAGGGGGACAAGCATTCACAACGTCGCTGCTGTCCTTCACTTACACCATCCAAAAAAACGTTAAAAATACTACAAAAA